TTTTTTATTTTTCATTTGTGTAGATACGGGATCTTCCTATGTATTCCAGGCTGGTCTCCAACTCCGGGGCTCAAGTAATCCTCCTACGTTGGCCTCTCAAAGTGCTGGGATAACAAATGTGAGCCACCATGCCTGGTGCCATGTTACTGAATCCAGGACACTTTCATGGCTCACCTTACTTGACCTTTCAATAACATTTTTGACTGACACATTGTTAAGTGTACATATGTATCAATAACATTTAACACTGTTGACAGCTCCCACTTTCAAACCATCTCTTCTGCTAACTTCTGTGACATCACATGTGAACTGTTCTCCTCCTAGTTCATAGCTGCACCTTCGGAGCATAGCATTTGGGAGACTGACCTTTGGAGTGAGGCCACCCAAGTTGATATCCTTTGGAGTGAGGCAACCCAAGTTCATAGGCCAGCTCCACCACTTCCAGCTCTATGGCCTTGGGCAAGTAAGTTAACCTCTCTGTGCCTCATTTATCAAACATTAGTTCTAGTAGTACCTATCCTGCCCTATCCTTCAGGGTTGTTGTAAGAATTCAGTTTTTTATATATATATGCAGTCATGTGCCACCTGATATTTTGTCAATGATGAGCTGCATATACAAGGGAGGTCCCATAAGATTCTAATACCTTATTTTTATTGTACCTTTTCTATGTTTAGATGATATGTTTAGATGCACAAATACCATCTCGTGTTACAACTGTCTACAGTATTCAGTACAGTAGCATGCTGTACATACAGCCTAGATGTGTCATAGGCTATCCCACCTAAGTTTGTGTAAGTACACTTTATGATGTTTGCACAATGATGAAATTGCCTAACAATGCATTCCTTGGAATGCATCCCCATCATTAAACAATGCATGACTGGGTGTGGGGGGTGTGTGTGTGTGTGTGTGTGTGTAATCCCAGAGCAGTACATCCCATAGAGTAAGCTTTAAGTCTTATGAGTCGGTACCATTGTTGCTGCTGTAGGAAGCTGATTCCCCAGGCCCTCTTCCTTTTCACTCTATGATCCCTTCAGTGACTCCAAATTGACATTTCCAGCCCAGGCCTCTCCTTGGGGCTCCACACCTAAAAATCCAGTTGCCCACTTGACATTCCCTCTTGGTTGCCTCAATGTCATATCAATTTTAATATGTGAACGACAAAACCATCTATGCTATTATGCAGTCAGAAACTTAGGAGCCGTTCTGGGTATCTCCCTCTTCCTCAGTCCTTCTTTTTCAATCTAATCTATCACCAAGTCAGGTTGGTTTTACCTCCTGAATATCCTTTCAAATCGTTCACTTATCTTCACTGCCATTGCTACTACCCTAGCTCAGAGGACCAACTGTCCCCTAGAACACTGTAAAAACTGCCTAGCCAGTCTCTGTTTCTATTTTGCCCTCTTTTAATTTTTTTTTTTTTTTTTTTGAGACTGGGACTCACTCTGTCGCCGAGCATGGAGTGCAGTGGTGTGATCTTAGCTCACTGAAACCTCTGCCTCTCAGGCTCAAGTGTTCCTCTCTCCTCAGCCTCCCGAGTAGCTGGGATTACAGGCGCGCACCACCACGCCTGGCTACCTTTTTTTTTGTAGAGATGGGATTTCACCATGTTGCCCAGGCTGGTCTTGAACTCCTGGGCTCAAGTAGTCTGCCTGCTTCAACCTCCCAAAGTCTTGAGATTAGAGGCGTGAGCCACTGCACCTGGCCTAATTTTTAATCAGTGATATATTTTGGTCATGCCATTTCTCTGCTCAGAATCTGTCTTGGATTCCAATTGGTCTTTGGATAATGATGCTAATCATTAAGGTTTGAAAATTATGTTGTTAGAGGTCTTGAATGCCAGACCTTATCATGGTGTCAAGCACACAGTAGGTGCTCAATAAGCATTTGTTGTCTGATTGACTGCTGGGAAGAAGCACTTTTACATTTGAGCTTTGATAGCAAACTACTGATGATTTGTGTTGAGGGAGTAAGTAACGTTAGCAGATATGACTTTCCAAAAATAGTCTTGCTGGGATCCCATGGATTGGGATTGAGAGAGGAAGACCTATTGGGACAGAAAGAAAGAGCAGAGAATTTGAAATAGATGGCAATTGGAAAGAAAAAGATGGATAGAGATTGGGAAGGCAGAATCTGTCTGCTTGGCTGAGAAAAAAATAAGACTCGGATTCTAGACTGAGAAAAAGAAAAAACGGATTTCTTTTGATTCGTTTATTCTGCTATTCTCTCTCTCGCTCGCTTTCTCTCTCGCTCGCTCTCTCTCGCTCTCTCACTCTCTCTCCTTCTCTCTCTCTCTGACAGGATCTTGCTCTGTCACCTAGGCTGGAGTGCAGGAGTGTGATCATGGCTCACTAAAGCCTCGACCTCCCAAGCTCAAAGGATCTTCTCACCTCAGCCTCCTGAGTAGCTGAGACCACAGGTGTGTGTCACCAGGCCTGGCTAATTTTTTAATATTTTATGGAGATGAGGTCTCACTATGTTGCCCAGGCTGGTCTCAAACTCCTAAGCTCAAGCGCTTCTCCTGTCTTGGCCTCTCAAAGCACGGGGATTACAGGTGTGAGCCACTGCTCCTGGCCAGCATGCCTTCTAAGGATTTTCACAGTCTGGCTCTAATCTACCTCTACAATCTCCTTTTCTGTTTTTCATCAGGTTTCCAACATTATAAACAGGGGTGCTTAAATCACATCTTTACTACTTTCAAAACAATGAACCTAGAGACCAGACTTTTTCTTATGTATGCAAATATTTATTCAAAAATATGTATCAAGTGCAATCATGTATCTGGGGTTGTGCTGGGCAGAGGAGGTACACAATGAACAAAACAGTCCCTGACCCTGTTGTCCCTTCCAGCCTGAGAGAGGAGACCAACTTTAACCAAATCAATCTCCTAATGTGTGAATAACCCCAAACTGAACTAAGTGCTTGAAGGAGAGGAACACAGTTCTGTGAGAATGTATAACATAAAGGTCTGCCCCAGGGCTGGGCGCAGTGGCTCACACCTGTAATCCCAGCACTTTGGGAGGCCGAGGCGGGTAGATCACTTGAGATCAGGAGTTCGAGACCAGGCTGGCCAAGATGGTGAAACCCTGTCTCTACTAAAAAATACAAATTAGCCAGGTGTGGTGGCGAGCGCCTGTAGTCCCAGCTACTCGGGAGGCTGAGGCAGGAGAACTGCTTCAACCTGGGAGGTGGAGGTTGCAGTGAGCCGAGATTGTGCCACCACACTCCAGACTGGGCAACAGAGCAAGACTCAAAAAAAATCTGCCCAGACACACAAACTCTCTCTCTCTCTCTGTCTCTGTCTCTCTCTCTCTCACTCCATCTCTCTCTCTCTGTCTTCTCTCTGTCTCTCTCTCTCTCTCTGTGTGTGTGTGTGTGTGTGTGTGTGTGTATGTGAGGAGGAGGAGGAGGAGGAGGAGGAGGAGGAAGAGGAGGAGGAGGAGGAGGAGTGGTAAAGACTTCCCACAAGGGATGCTTGAGCAGAGAGCTGAAGGTGGAGAAGGACCTGATTGAATGAAGTGGAAATGGAACATGATGGGTTCAAGAAACTTAGACCATGTAGCTATTCTTGCATATTTATTTTTTCATATGAACTTTAGTATCAACTTGTTTAGGTCCAGAATAAAAGCTTATTGGTATTCTTACTGAGAGTTGGTAAGTTTATAACATAACATAGGAAGGAGAATTGACATCTCCATGATATTGACTTGACCTATCTGTGAGAGCCACCATTCAGCCCAGTATATCATGTAAGATAACATAAACAGAGGTTCCAAGGATCAGGACATGGATATCTTTAGGGGCCATTATCCTTCTCACCACAAGCACTATTTACAATAATACCAAAGAAGGCCAGGTGCAGCGGCTCACGCCTGTAATCCCAGCACTTTGGGAGGCAAGGCAGTCGATTACTTGCAGTCAGGAATTCGAGACCTGGGCAACATGGTGAAACCCTGTCTCTACTAAAAATACAAAAATTAACCGGGCGTGGTGGCAGGCACCTGTAATCCCAGCTACTCTGGAGGCTGAGGCACAAGAACGCTTAAATCCAGGAAGCAGAGGTTGCAGTGAGCTGAGGTCGTGCCACCGCACTCCAGCCTGGGCAAGAGAGCGAGACTCAATCTAAAAATAAAAGAAAAGAAAATAGAAATAATACCAGAGAAATGAAATACTTAGGTGTAAATTTGACAAATATGTCCTAGATCTATGTGCTGAAAACTACAAAACAATGATGAAGGAAATAAAAGAGAGCTAAATATATGGAGATTTAGAAATGTCTGGAGCACTGTGTTCATGGATTGGAAGACTCAATATTGTTAAGATGTCAATACTCTAAAAATTTATCTATAGATTCAACACAATTCCAGTCCAAATCCCAGCAGGATTCTTTGTAGATATCAGCATGGTGACTCTAAAATTTACATGGAGAGGCAAAGAAATTAGAATATTCAAAACAGTTTTTAAAAATAAGAACAAAATTGGAAGATTCATGTTACTTAAATTTGAGACTTACTATAAAGCCACAGTAATCAAGACAGTGTGGTATTGGTGCAAGGATGGATACATAGGTCAATGTAATAGAATAGAGAGTGCAGAAATTTGCCCATAGTTTTTACAAAAATTCACTTAAAATCAATCATAGACCTGGCTGGGCCTGGTGGCTCATACCTGTAATCCCAGCACTTTGGGAGGCCAAGGCAGGTGGATTGCTTGAATCCAGGAGTTTGAGACCAGTCTGGGCAACATGGTGAAACTCTATCTCTACAAAAAATAAAATTAAAAAAAAAAATTAGCTGGGCATGGTGGCACATGCCTGGGAGCTACTTGGGAGGTTGAGGTGGGAGGATGGCTTGAGCCCGGGAGGGGGAGGTTGCAGTCAGCAGTGATCACACCACTGCACTCCAGCCTGGGTGACAGAGCGACACTCTGTCTAAAAAAAAAAAAAAAAAAAAAAAAAAAAATCAATCATAGACCTAAATGTAAGATGTATAACTTTTAGAAGAAAACACAGAAGAAAGTCTTTGTTTTCTGGAGTTAGGCCAATAATTCTTAGATATGACACCAAAAGCACTATCCGTAACAGAAAAATTTGATAAGTTGGACTTCATGAAAATTATGAGCCGTTGCTCAACAAAAGATGTTAAGAGGATGAAAATACAATATACTGGGAGAAAATATTTATAAATAACATATCTAACAAAGGACTTGTATCCAGAATATACAACGAGCTCTTGAAACAATGAGGAAACAAACAATCCAATATAAAAATGGGCAAGAAACCGTGGAAGTAAAGAACCAGTAGGTGAAGATAAAGGCATCAAAGCATATAAGGAATCGCAAAGCAGACACTGGCCCCGGCAGCAAGTGTAACTGGCAGCAGGAGATGGCCAAGAGCACCCAGGGAAAAGGCCCAAGCCCTAGAAGACCTGGCCGGCTTCAAAGACCCAGCATCAGGTTATACTGAAGAATCAATGACTCATGACAAAACCACCAAAATACCCTACAAATCACCACCAGAACTAGTAGACACTGCAACAAGCTCAAAGAGATGGCCCAGGGCTTGTGGCCAGAAAGTAGAAGTGAAAGAAGAGCTGTTAGCAGTTGGCACGCTCACACAAACATCAGGGGAGACCACGCACACCAACAAAGAACCAGCAGGTGAGGGCAAAGGCCTGAAAGCATTTAAGCAACCCGCAAAGCAGAAGCTGAACCCAGAAAATGTAACTGGCAGCAGGAGATGGCCAAGAGTGCCTAAGGAAAAGGCCCAACCCCTGGAAGATCTGGCCAGCTTCCAAGAGCTCTGGCAAACACCAGGCCACACTGAGGAACTGGCAAATGGTGCTGATAGCTTTACAAGCACTCCAAAGCCAGCACCTGACAGTGGAAAACCTCTAAAAATATCCAGAAGAGTTCTTCAGGCCCCTAAAGTAGAATCCGTGGGAGACCTGGTAGGCACCAGAGACCCTGTAAAATCACAAAGCAAAAGCAACACCTCCCTGTCCCCACTGCCCTTCAAGAGGGGGTATGGAAAAGATGGAAGTGTCATAGGAACCAAGAGGCCGCACTGCATGCCTGCACCAGAGGAAATCATAGAGGAGCTGCCAGCCAGCAAGAAGCAGAGGGTTGCTCCCAGGGTGAGAGGCAAATCACCCTTGCTCATCATGAAGAGAAGTCTGAGGACTTCTGCAAAAAGAATTGAACCTGCAGAAGATCTGAACAGCAATAACATGAAAACCAACAAAGAGTAATACGAACTACAAAACTCAGTCCCTGAAAATAAGGGAATGTCCCTGCGCTCCAGACACCAAAATAAGACTGATGTAGAACAGAAAATAACTGAGGTAATTGTATTAGCAGAAAGAATTCCAATAAACTGAAATGAAAAGAAGCCCATGAAGACCTCTCAAGACATGGACATTCAAAATCCAGATGATGGAGCCCAGAAACCTATACCTACGGGCAACGTCAGTGAAAACAAAAGGTGCTTGAGGTCTGTTAGAAAGAATAAGAGCTCCCAGCCTAAAGTGGCAGAGGAGAGCAGAGGGCAGAAGAGTAGCGGGGGGTTCTCATGTAGAATCAGGAAGGGAAAAGAGAAGCAGGACATTCAGACTCCATGTGTTTGAGATCAAGAAAGATGAAAAGCCAGTCTGCAGCGAGCACTTTGGAGAGCGAATCTGCACAGAGTAACGTGGAATGTCAAGAGGCGTGCAGAAAATCCAAAGAAGACTGAGGGCTGGGCGCAGTGGCTCAAGCCTGTAATCCCAGCACTCTGGGAGGCTGAGGCGGGTGGATCACGAGGTCAGGAGATCGAGACCATCCTGGCTAACATGGTGAAACCGCGTCTCTACTAAAAATACAAAAAATTAGCTGGGCATGGTGGCGGGCGCCTGTAGTCCCAGTTACTTGGGAGGCTGAGGCAGGAGAATGGTGTGAACCCGGGAGGAAGAGCTTGCAGTGAGCCGAGATCACGCCACTACACTCCAACCTGGGCAACAGAGCAAGACTCCGTCTCAAAAAAAAAAAAGGCTGAGGACATTGTATGTGTCAAGAAAATAAGAACCAGAAGTCACTGCGGCAGTGAAGACATTTAGCAAATAAATCTAACTGGGAAAAATATAATAAAGTTAGTTTTGTGATAAACACACACAAAAAATGGGCAAAATATTTGAACAGCCTTTTCACCAAAGAAGATATGCAGATGTCTATAAGGAAATGAACAAGCTGCTCAACATCAACAGTAAAATGCAAATTAAAGCCACAATGAAATACTTACTGATGCACCTATTGCAATGGCTTAAAAAAACTGATAATACCAATGCTGGCCAGGCTGTAGAACAACTGGAACATTCATACATTGCTAGTGGGAATGCAAAAATGGTTCAGCCACTTTGGAAAAACAGTTTGGCAGATTTTTAAAATAAAGTTAAAAATATACTTACCACATGTTCCACGAATTCCATGCCTACATATTTCCTTAAAAGAAATGAAAACTTATGTTCACACAAAATCCTATATGCAAATGTTGATAGCAGCTTTAGTCATAATTGCTAAAAATTGGAAGCAACTGGTGAATGGAGAAACAAATTGTGATCAACCATACAATGGAATGCTACTCAGCAATAAAAAGGAACAGACTATTGATACAGGCAATGACGTGGCTGAATCTCAAAGGCTTTATTCTCTGAGAAAGAAGCTGGCTCAAAAGTCTACATTCTGTATTATCCCATTTATACGACATTCTGGAATATGCATAAGTATATTGACAGAGAACAGATTAGTTCTTTCCAGGGATTAAGCACAGAGTAGAGGAATCAACCATAATGGGACAGCATTAGGTAGCTCTTTGGGGCGAATTAGAATTCTTCTGCATCTTGACTGTGGTAGTAGTTACATGGCTTGGTGAGTTTGTCAAAATTCATAAAACTATACACCAAAAAGAATGAAATTTACTGAAGATAAATTTTAAAATAAAATAAAATAAACCCCAGGTAATCATGGCTCTACTTCCAATGCCCAAGCTGCCTTGAGCTTCTGAGCTGTAATGGATGAAAAGGTGGATATAGGGTTTGCCTGCAAGCCTTGTCCAAGCTCTGTGATTTCACCCACATTATAGGTTGAGTTCTCTGGGAGGCAGACTCTGAGATGAAGATTAGCACCCAGGAGATTTTTTTGTTTTGTTTTTTTTGAAACGGAGTCTCGCTCTGTCACCCAGGCTGGAGTGGAATGGCACGATCTCTACTCACTGCAAACTCTGCCTCCCAGGCTCAAGCGATTCTCCTGCCTCAGCCTCCCAAGTAGCTGGGATTACAGGTACCCACCACCACACCCGGCTAATTTTTTTATTTTCAGTAGAGATGGGGTTTCACCATATTGGCCAGGCTGCTTTCAAACTCTGTACCCAGGAGATTTATTAGAGAGGGCCCTTGGGATCAACATCTATTGAAGGGAAGGGAAGGATATAGGATTGGGCAGAGTGGGAAGTCAGGGGGCAGCACAAGCCCAACATTGTCTCTCTTGGTCTACCACATGGTGATCTTTGAAGTTGAGGTGGTTATTCGGAGTTGTCTCTTGTTGAGGGGAGAGGGTTGGGCCCCCTGTTTTTCAGCTATTAGATGCAGGCTGACCCCTAGAAGGATGCAACTTTGGGTGAGGCCGCTCTTTTTAGCCAAGGCAATCACTGAAGTTGCTGACAGCTGAGGGTTTTCTGTGGGCACCGCTTCCAGCAGCTGGAGAATACTTCCTTCATTCCAGAAGGGAATCTGGACAGCATCTACCACACTTCCTGACCTCTTCAAAGGAGGAGGTATTCCCATCTTTTTTACTATCTCCCAGAGGGCAGAAATGGTGATTTCCTGTTGAAATCCAGTGGCAGGACACTTACCAGGTCCTTTTGAGTTTTCTAATAAAAACACAAATCAATAAATAAACATATTTTCTGGGCAAAGAGTGGCTTCTCATGGGAATTTTTTCTAATTTTACACATTTTTCTTCCTTGTGATAATATGTATAATTTATTTTATGAGAAGGAAAACACAAATTGTAACAGAACTTAGTTTTAGGGTATATATATATATTTATTTATTAGAGATGGGTACTCATTCTGACTGCCAGACTGGAGTGCAGTGGCGGCAATCATAGCTCACTGCAGCCCCAATCTCTGGGGCTCAAGCAATCCTCCCACCTCAGCCTCCCAAGTAGCTGGGACCACAGGCATGTGCCACCACACCCGGCTAATTTTGTTTATTTTTGTAGAGATGGGGGTCTCACTATGTTGCCCAGGCTGGTCTTGAACTCCTGGGCTCAAGCGATCCTCCTGCCTTAGCTTCCCAAAGTGCTGGGATTACAGGCGTGCGCCACTGCCCCCAGCCACTTTTGTTAATTTCAACATTTTCTTAACAAAAAGGAAAATTAATTACATAGTGTAGGTCAGGCATCTTTTATAACACTCTTACTTCTTCATATTCTTAAAATGTTGACTTTCTAATGTGAAGACTGGACAAGCTTCCAAGCTCTGGTCAAAGTGGGGCAAGGATTACTCTAGAGAGATTGTTAGGATATCACTGTATACCACTCCATCTCCCGTGAGTATACAAGTTGTGCTGTGAGAGGAGTTTCTCACCATCTTCCGTACTTAAACATGGCTTCATTTCTTTCTCCTTAATCCTCTTCATAGCCTCCACCTAACCTAAAATATTGGGAATCCAAGGTTCCATGCTGGGCGCCCTCTTCTTGTACTCAACCACCTGAGATTTTCAATTCCCATGGCTTCTCCCAACAAGTTTACATTATTCACTCTTAAATATCATCTCCAGGCTGGGCATGGTGGCTTATGCCTGTAATCTCAGCATTTTGGGAGGCTGAGGCAGATGGATCACCTGAGGTCACGAGTTCGAGACCAGCCTGGCCAACATGGTGAAACCCCGTTTCTACTAAAAATACAAAAATTAGCCAGGTGCGGTGGTGCCGCCTGTAATCCCAGCTACTTGGGAGGCTGAGGCAGGAGAATCGCTTGAACCCGGGAGGCGGAGGTTGCAGTGAGCCAAGATCACGCCATTGTACTCTAGCCTGGGTGATAAGAGCAAAACTCCGTCCCTCCCCCACCCAAACAAAAATCATCTCCTGAATTTATCTCCTGAACTCCAGTTAGTCTCATGTTTCCAATTCTGTCTCAGCACCTCTACCTGATGTCCCCCCAACCCAGGTACCTCACATTCATCTTGTCCCCAAGCAAATCCTCTACAACCCTCTACAAATCTGCTATTCCTCATGAATTTCTGTTTTGAATGTTATTATTACACAGTAAGATGCCAGAATTAGAAACCCCGCAGTCATCTTTGTGCATGCCTCTCCCTTTCTCAGGCACCACATCCAATCAGTCATCCTAGCCCCATAAGTCTACCATGCAAATATCTCTTAAATATGCCTCCATCATTAACTCTCCCCCAAACAAGATGCCACCATTCATCAATCCACATTGTGCTTTTCCTCTCTAGCTTTGTGTGATCCATCATCTCTTAATTAGTCTTTCTGCTTCCATCTTCTACTATCTCCACACCTTCTTAAGAAGGCTATCTGGGGCCTGCAGAATCAAGTCCACACTCCTTAGGACACCTCATAAGGGTTTTTACAGTGCTGTTCTTATTCCTTGGCCTGCCTTCTAAGGATTTTCCCAGTCTGGCTCTCATCTACCTCTGCAGTCTCTTTCTACTGCTTCGTCTCTCTTCCTCCTCCATCCTGTATCCCAATTCTGTTGGCACACTGTTTAATACTGTGTGTTCTAGTCAGACTTTTCTGGGTTTCACAAAAATGCTGAACAGTTTGATGCTTCTATATCTGAGCTCAAGTTGTTCCCTCTGCCTAAAATACCTTTTGTTCACATTTCAGTCTGTCATATCTCACTTAAATTTGAAGCTCACATATAAAGTTCATTCAACAGAATTAATGATTCATTTTCTAGGTTTCCATCTTGTACATACCTGCATTAAAACATCTCTTATGGCCGGGCATGGTGGCTCATGCCTGTAATCCCAGCACTTTGGGAGGCTGAGGTGGGTGGATCACTTGAGGTAAGGAGTTCAAGACCAGCCTGGCCAACATGGTGAAACCCCATCTCTACTAGAAATACAAAAAAATTAGCCAGGCTTGGTAGTGGGTGCCTATAATCCCAGCTACTCAGGTGGCTGAGGCAGGAGAATCACTTGAACCCAGGAGGCGGAGGTTGCGGTGAGCTGAGATCACACCACTGAACTCCAGCCTGGGCGACAGAGTGAGACTCCATCTCAAAAAGAAAGAAAACCTCTTACATTAGTGTTATGAATTTGTTTTTCTTTCTGGATGGACTGTGAGCTCAGCAAGACTACCTGAAAGACGAGAGAGATCCAATTGA